ATCCTGAGCAGCGCGCCGTGGCGGCCGAGGCAGGAGCGCCCGCCTGGTCCGGCCTGGGCTGCAACGAGGAGAGGAGCGCGCCGAGGGGAAGACAGCGGCTCGGCGAGGGACGGCAGGGGCCAGGCGCACACGGGCCGAAAGGCTCCGTGGACAGGGCGTTTGCACACGGAGTGGGAGTTGCTCCCCAGCAGAGCCCACGTAAGGGACACTCCCCACAGGTCAGGAGTCAGCGCAGCGGACGGCCCGACGGCCTCGGCCACACGGCGAGACCGGAGACTTGCAGGACCATCAGCGCGGACACAAGCTGGCCGCTGTCCCCACGGGAGGACCCAGAAGCTCAGACACTTGCCACACAACCGAAGCCCCAGGGGAGAGGTCACAGGAGCAAATGGCAAGGCCGACAAGACGGTCCCCAAGCCGGCTATGCTGGTGCAGGCCTGTCATCCCAGCACCCAGGAGGCTGAGGCAGGAGGATTGCTGGGAGTTTGAGGCCAGTCTGAATTACAGGGCAAGACTCTGTCTCCAGAACAAAGCAAAACAAAAAAAGGCTCCTTTAGGCGGTCTCTCCTGTCAGTGCTCTAGATTGGTGGAGGGGTCGGAAGCCTGCACTTGCCTGAGGCCTGAGCCCTCAGGCGGAGGGGAACAAGGTCAGGGCTTAACTGGCCAACCTCAGCTCGTTTTTTGTCAAAATTAACAGGAATTATCAAATGCATTTTGTAAGTTTGGAAAGTACACAGAAATACCTACGTTGGTGACTTTATACAATGTTTTCATTTTTTTGTTGTTGTTTGTTTTTGTTGTTTTCCTGTAGGAACTCACCACCTCGCACTTGCCAGGCAGGCGTTGTGCCGCTGAGCTAAATCTCCAGCCCCTGTACAGTGTTTTTAAAAGGAAAAAAAAGGGCTGGGGATTTAGCTCAGCGGCACAGCGCCTGCCTGGCAAGCGCAAGGTCATAAGTTCAATTCCCGTACCAGAAAAAAAAAAATCACACACAATACCCTGCTGGGGGTGTAGCTCAGTGGCTCAGCAATTGCTTAGTGTGCCTAAGGCTCTTGCTCAATCCCCAGTACTGCAAAAAAAAAACCGAAACAAAACAGAAGTGGCTGGGAGGTGTGGCTGCTTCCGGATGGCACAGGACAGGCTCAGGTCGCACACACAGGGGCTTCTGGAATGATGGAAACATTTTTTTTTCCTTTTTCTCGGTACCAGAAATTGAACTCAGGACCTTGCGCTTGCCAGGCACCCCGTTCTATTCTTGACTGTGTGCTGTACGTGAGCGCGTCGCTTTAGATGCACCTCTCATGCACTTCTGCGCGCACTGTTTCACAAATGCCACTTCTGGCCTGTGGCCTGGGGACTGAGCCCAGGCCTCACAAATGCTACGCTCGGCCCTGCCGAGCGCTACACCCCAGCCCCAAATCTTACGTTCTGAATAAAGCAATTCCAGGACGGGCTCTGGTGACCGTGGGGTGTCCACACGCACGGCCTTGGCCTCCCAGGACGGCGGCGGCTGCCCCCGAGTCGGCTCGCAGGGGCCCTCTGCTCACGTGGGGGCTGCGGAGGCCGCGCCACAAGGCCAGTTCACCCGGACTCGGCCGTGCCCGAGCAGGCTCAGCGCTTGGGCCAGGCAAGGGGGGCAGGGCAGGGCGCCGGCCACAGCGACGCCAGGCCCAAAAGGCCCTGCCACGTCCACCCCCCTGGCCTCCAGGTGCTGGCATCGCTGCTGCGTTCCGCCACCCACACCCGGTGGCAGGCAGAGCGCCTCACCGCCAGCGTCAAGCCACGCGCGCGTGCGGCATCGTCCTCATGGACACTGAGGAAAGCAGGGGCCTCCGGATCCGCAGCCCACGGCGCAGCGAGCACAGTCTCCTGTCACCGGAGAGCCTCGCCAGAGCTGGCGGCGGAGGAGGCCCCGGCGGCTCGCCGGCAAGAGGGAGCCACAGGGAGAGAGGCCAGCCAGCCCCCCGCGGAGTTCCCAGAAAGCCTCTGCTCCGCTCTGAATCCCCCTGCTGGGAATTTACCCAAAGAAGGAAAACGTCGCGAGCACGAAGGAGGTCAGCGGAGGGCTGTTTATAGAGACAGACACGGAAGATTTAAGTGGCTGTGAAATCTGTACCGAGATGACGCTGCCGGCCAGATGTCTGCAGCCTTTGAACCCAGGGGACCGAGGGCCGCAGGGACAGGGGACAGAGGACCCTTTTCTCTGAACAGAAGGGTGGGTGGAGATCACAGTCATCTCCAGGGAGCGAGGCCCCGGACAGAACAAAACAGGTCCAGCCGAAGCTCAGCTTGGTCCTCTGTGACAAGCGGCCGAGTCCTCCTCTCCGCCTCAGGGACTGTGAGGCAGAAATGGTCATTAGGCAAGGCTGCTTCATAGCCTGGCCCTGAAAACAGTCAAGACATAGCAGCCATCTGCATGCACCTCTCATCCTAGCCACTGGGGAGGCTGAAGCAGGAGGATCACCAACCAGTTCAAGGCCATCCTGAACTACACAGTGAGACCCTGTCTTCAAACCCCCACAAAATAAAAAAACAAGACAAAAAGTGGGTGAGGGGGGGCCACCAGAGGGTAGCTTGAGTGTCCTTGAGTTCACTCCTTAGTACTAAAAAAAGAAGACAGGGCAAATAAATAGCAGTTAAAACAAATTAACGTTCCCAGCTGAGCCAGGGCGGGTCAGGAGGCTGAAGGTGAGGCCCGTTGGTGCTGGCTCTTCCCACCTGAGACGGGAAGGAACAAAAGCCACAGTGGCCTAGTGCTGGCCAGGGCGCAGGACACCAGAGCTCCCCAGAGCCACTGCGGGCTACTAATGCGGATCCACATGGCCCTGCAGAGAGGGTGAGTCAAGGGGCAAGCTCTGCGTGTCTGTGGGACAGATGCCAGGCACTGCGCCAGACTCAACAGCACAGCCTGAGTGACACACACGGGCAGGAAAAAGTGTCCCGCACAGTTTGGGGCCGCAGGGACGGCCTCGCCCACAGAATGGCACTTGGTGGCACTGCACTGTCACAGCGCTGAACACGGCACACGGAGACACGGCAGAGGCCAGTGGGCGGGACCGGCCAAGCGATCTTCACAAATCCCTGGGAAAGCAAGCTTGTTTTTACAGAGAACCAGAAGTTCGCTGGCCGTGGTGGCATACACCTGTAACCCTAGCACTCAGGAGGCTGAGGCAGGAGGATCATTGTGAGTTCGTGAACAGCCTGGGCTACACAGAGTGCAAGGCTGGCCTGAACTGCATAGCAAGACCTTGTCTCAAAAAGACAAAAAAGAAAAAAAGAAAAAAAAAAGCCAAGGAACTAGAAGCTCACCTTATGTGGCGGGGTGACCAAGAACCAGTAGATTAGGAAGCAGATGTATTCTTAATTTTATACCATGCTGTTTGAATTTTTGTTTTTCTGTTCTTGAGAGGGGGTCTCAAGTACCTCAGACATCTTACGTGACAGTCACGCTTTTGAGTGGCTGCTGACAGTCAGCATGACGTCCTCACGGTCTGTCCGTGCTGCAGTGCCTGCGTCCCCTCGCTGTCCCAGGCTGAGTACAGGCCTCCCGTGAACAAGTCCCCGACCCGAGGTGGGGCTGGCAAACGGGTGGGGCTCGGTGGGGAGCCGTGCAGTGCCTACGTTCCAGCACGAGAACAAAGGGAGCTCCGGCTCCACGGCTTCGCGTTTACCTGCAGGCTCTTCCACACAGTGCCCTACAGTGCAAGCAACGACGTCACAGCGCTGCAGACTTCCCAGAGAGACTGTCTGTGAACGCGCTGTGCACAACTGCAAAGCAAAGGGCGGTGGGAAGGCCAAGCCGCGCCTCCTCTGCAGGTTGTTAAACGCAGGGCATCTGCGGGGGTCGGGCACAGCTGGGCGCGGCCGCTGCGGTCAGCGCCGGGCGC